CAATTTATAAACAGCGGAATTTAAAGAAGTGGAAGAAACAAATAAAACCATTTAAATATTTCCAATATAATTTCTTAAACAAAGACTACCCAGAACTGGTGTCACAACTTCACAGACGGTCTAGGAATACTACAAACAAGGTCCGAAAAATAAATACAACACTGTTTCTGAAATATGTAAATGAAACAGGATGAAAGGATAGAGGGAGACGCCAGGGCCTGCGGACGCCTGCAGGACTACCTTGGATCTCCGAATGGACCGAAGGCAACAACCCCAAAGCTAAGGTCCAAAAGCTGCTGCACCGAGATCTGCACATAGTGTAGAGTGTAGTATCAGCACAACCGACCTCATGTGTTGGTAAGTGTCTAGCCTAACCTCGGCGAAGTAGTGACGAGGCTAGGACCAGACTGCCAAATAAACCTGTGCAGTTAAATCATATACAACGGAAAATAAAAGCAGGAATGTACCGTTAAGAATGGGAGGGGGAAACATGCTACGGGGAACATCAAATGATAATAGAAGGATAGCAGGTAAATACAAGGAACACCATAACTCAATTATCAACAAGAATCAGAAATCAAACAAGTGCACGGCATCACCCTTCGTGCTTTTACTCTCGTCCTCACCATAAGAATCAATATAATCTGCACGACATCACCCTTAGTGCTTTTACTCTCATCCTCACCATAAAAATCAATATAATCGGCACGAAATTGTACATCGTACAGCACGGCATCACCCTTCGTGCTTTTACACTCTTCCTCACAAAATCATACACGACATTACCCTTCGTGCTTTAACACTCTCTCACCAAAATAATGCACGGCATCACCCTTCGTGCTTTAACACTCTTCCTCACCCAAACAACAATCACAAACAATAAGGGCAAGGAAATAATTAAAATCACAATAAAATCTCGGCAAGGGAACAATATCAAAAGTATCAACATCCCGGCAAGGGAAAAAGCATTAAAAATAACAACATCCCGGCAAGGGAGATGATATAATAAGCCTCTTCTCTTTTTCACATTTACTTCACAACTTGAGCCAATGCTCTAATAGGTTCAATTTCCATTTATACTTCCACAATTCATTTTACAACTTGAGTCAATGCTCTTCAATATTCAAATACCAATATTACTTCCACACGCTTTGCTCAACAATTGAAATTATCACATAAGGCATGAACAATACAAAGGGAGTCACATTAACCATAGTATAAGTCTTACGGGCATGCTTGACACCAACGTATAGATACTCCTCACCATGCCTATACGTCGTACTCAACAAATAACACATAACAACTAGGACACAACTCCTAATCTCTCAAGCTAAGGTTAGACCAAACACTTACCTCAAACTTTCACGGCCAACTCAAGCCTCAAACATCGCTTTTCCTTTAGAATTCGCCTCCAAATTACTTGTATCTAGTCCAAATCAATTTAACAACATCAATAAATGCTAAAGAATTCATACTCAATGCTTAACTATATGTTTTCTATCATTTTCCCCAAAAAGTCAAAAATCGACCCTAGGCCCGCCTTGTCGAAACTCGAGGTTTCGACCAAAACTCGATCACCCATTCACCCACGAGCCCAAATATGCAATTAGTTTTGAAATCCGACTCCAATACGAGGTCTAAATCCCAATTATTCAACAAGCCCTAACTCTACCCAAATTCCTAATTTCTACCATGATAACTCTTGATTTTTTATTAGAAAGTGATGAAAAATATTGGTTAATTGAAAGAGTAAAGTTTAGAATTGATTACCAACACTTTGGGGATGAATTTGTGAGAAGAAAATCGCCTCTATGCCTTGGGAGTTCGAAAATATGGGGTAAAATAGGTTTTGCCCGGTTCTGGTTCTGTTTTAAAATAATTGGGCAGGCTTTCATCGCGTTCGCGATAGGCCTGTCGCGTTCACGATGGGTCAGGCCAGATGGCCATCGCATTCGCGTTCAAGGGCTCGCGTTCGCGGTCAAGTGGACGTATTCGCGTAGAGCAAAATCCCTTTCCCCCTGTCCAGGCCCGAAGACCTTCGCGTTTGCGATAGCAGGTCCGCGTTCGCGAAGGAAAGCACCCCCGAAGCTTCGCGTTCGCGACCTGTTTCTCGCGTTCGCGTAGAAGAAAAATTCCTTCAGCCTGACTTACCCTTCTCGTTCGCGAGAGTCCTTCCACGAACGCGAAGAAAAAAACTCCAGAACACCAGAAACTGAAAACCTGCAACTTTTCTAAGTTTAAAAACCTTCCGAAACCTATCCGAAACTCACCCGAGCCCTCGGGGCTTCAAACCAAACATGCATACTAACTCAAAAACATCATATGGACTTACTCGTGCGATCAAATCGCCAAATTAACAGCTTTAATAATGAATTTAGCATCAAAATCAAAGAAAATTTTCAAGAACACTTAAGTTTCAAATTTCCCAACCGAGGGTCTGATTCAAGTCATTTCAAGTTCGTTTCTTACTAAATTTTACAGGCTCAATCTAAACGCCATATAAGACCTGTACCGTGCTTCAGAACCAAGATACGGGTCCGATACCATCAATTTCAAATATAATCAAATTTCCAAAAACTCTTATATTTTCAGTAAAACAATTTCTTTCAAAAATTTATTTCTCGGGCTTGGGACCTCGAAATTCTATTCCGGGCATATGCCCAAGTCCCATATTTTCCTACGGACCCTCCGGGACCGTCAAATCATAGGCCCGGATCCGTATACCCAAAATATTGATCGAAGTCAACTTAAATTTAATTTTAAAGGCCAAATTAACATTTCCATCACATTTCTACATAAAAGTGTTCCCAATATATGCCCGGACCGCACACGCAAATCGAAGTGCGGAAAAAAAGAGGCTTCTAAGGCCTTGGAATACAGAATTTACTCGTAAATCAAGTGATGACAAAAGGTCATCACAATAATTCACATTCACCACTTATATAATCATTATTACAAAATTATTTTAAAGGATAAATCAACTAAAAGTGAAATCATTGATAAAAGATAATTAAATAAATATTACATCATAGTCAAATTTAATTTAATTATCGAATGCCTGTTCTCTCAGTTTTTTGGTAATTTTGGTGTACCTGAAAATGACATGGCGGATTACTAAACTTATGTTTTATGTTTTTTAATATAATTTCAATTTTAATGTATCCTTCTTTGATGTACTTTTAATTATAATGTATTTTTATTTTATGTATTGTTAATTTTCTTTTTTAATTTTAGTTTTCACTTTTCAATTTTAGCAACATTAGATATCGTACATTTGCATTTTTTATTTTTAAATAATGGTTATATTTCTTTTTATACAATTATAATAATAATAAAATTAACTTATAATTTTATATAAATATAATATATATACAAAAATTAATATATCAAAAAAATAGGATATAAAATTAAAATTATAACAATCTTAATATAAAAATTAATTATATACACAATATATGATAAATTAAAAGTTCAAAAACATAAAAAGATGAACAAATAATAATAAATCAAATTTGATGTTGATGAATAGTGTCACACCAAATTTGGTGTGACACTATTCACGCACTATAATGGTGCAAGATTTGGTATTCCATTGGAGCAAAAAAAAAACACCAAATTTTACACCAAATTTAGATTTGGTGCAAAAAATAGTGCACCCTTGGAGTGCCCTCAAACGAAGTAATTAGAGAAGAGTAGGGGAAAAAATGTTTTTTCGTCCAATCATAAGCTCAAGTAATGAAACCATGCATTTTATGTTTTTGTTACATACATAGTTATTTATTCGAAAATATACAATACCTCAATGCTAAAATGCAATAAAATATAGCTACATCTTGTTTGTTTTTCGATTTTAATTCTTAGTAATAGTTTTTAGTTTTTACATATGTTAAGGAGTGCAACTTCTTGCTATCTTTTTCTTTGCATGTTAGTAGCGATAAATGTTACACACTTGCACTACATTTAGATGGGGTTGGTAAAAGAAACAAAGAGGAAAAAAATGAAAAAACAAAGAAAGAAGAAATATTTTTCCCTGGGCTTCAAAGCGGTTATTTATTTAGTCTCTTTTGGACGTGCATTGTATTTGCATCAATGGTTGGACATCAGTTTTGTTGGATATTTCAACTTCTGCTTGAATGGAAAATTTGAAGTTGAAATAATGGTTAGAGCAGTATTTTCCCCTGAACTTCAAATACTTCTTTTTAACATCAATCAAATATTATATAAACGTATCCAAGAAAACTTTTTATGTTTGTCTGAATCAAGATAATACTTAACAGGTAGGTCTGAGAGTGGTAAGAATAACTCTTTCTCCCTTAGATATATTCCCAGTGAAGTATCTTGCATGCCCAATTTATACTAGACGAAGGTGGATTTGCTACTTTACGCCAATGTTACAAGCAGTCCACTGCATTTATTCTTTTATTCTTGATAACCGTGGTGTATGAGCTATTTTCACGCACCTCACACTATTTCATCGGATGCTTGTTAATTGCATTTCACTAGCACAGATACGGAATAACTCCTACCAAAGCTAAGGCTTATGAGTAGAAATTATCTAATGCTATTTTTTTTTTTTGCATGTCAGAATTTGAACCTCGATTTTCTATAATTTTCACCTACTTCATTGGACATGGGAACAGAGTCTTTTCTTTGGAGTTGATCTTACGAAAGCTATTTAAGACAAATGGTATGTGTGTGAAGCAAATGGCATCAGGAGAGTTCTCATATTTGGGCAACACCAATCCAAATTGAGGAAACGGAGCAATATATACTTTGGCAAATGACGAGTGAAGAATACCTCTTCTTGTTTCTGGTGGGATAACATGCACGCTTTAGTTATGTACTGGTTGCTACTATTTATTTCCTTCACAGCGTCCTAACATTTCTTAGCAAAACTAATTTGATACATCCTTGTTATTTGGCATCTTAACGCACTAGGAAAAAAGAAAAAGATGCACTGAACTTCGACGTACAATATTTAGAGAAGAACACGTTATCAATGAAAGAATGCGCAGCATTCCAGATTTGGAGATGTACAGAGGTACAAGAGGAGATAATACAACTCCCTATACAGTATGTTTTCCGAGAGAGGTGATCTATATCAAACTAACCTCGAGATGTCCATTCTCAAGAACCTATACTGATACGATAAAAGAAAAAGAACATTATCACCAAGTAGGAAGATAATCTAAAATATGTTACATGTAGCCAAAAGGCATAGATTATGAAGCTAGAAAGAATGAAAGGGAAATCTAAGTTGTTCTATAACTGTTGATGGCCGAAAACCTCCATAAACTATTGTTCAACTGATATAAATTCGTATCGGATGTGTGGCCATGTGATCATCCATGTAAAAATAAGTCTTTCTTGATATAATGACTGCTATCGATCCAGTTGAGGAAATGTCGGGTAGTGGTGGACTAATGTCTTCTCATCATCATCATCATCAAAATCAAGTCCATCTTCCCCATAATCCATTTCAACAATGATTCTGTCTTCAAGATGCTCTTGGGTTTCAGATGACTCGACTTGTGAATATTGTCGAGTTGCAGGAGACGTATCCAAGCCCATGATTTGCATCTCTGATTCTATCAGTGCTTCCATTTGAGCCCGCTCCTTATCCCTTGGATACGTGCAATAGAGAAAAGAGTAAATCACACAGCATAGTGCCACTGGAGTTCCTATGGAAGTGAACAACGCTTGTGCCAAAGCTTTGGCGTTTCCTCTGTCTGTAGCAATATTTTCAACACCTTCAGGAACTGGTTTATAACCGTAAACATTCTGAGCCAGTAGTCCAACAACAGGTGGAGCAAAAGACGATAGTACAGATTCAAATGATCGGTCCAGAGCATAGATACTTGTTCTTGATTTATCAGGCACTATCTCTGCAAAAATTGGACTGTTGGCACTTCAGCATAATATGCAATCACGACACTCAATACTGACAAAGCACAATGAATGCTGACATATAACTTTCTTAAGGAAGGAACTCAATCGTCACCCTTTTCATGGCTGTGGGTCTACTTACAAATTACAACAAAATGGCTATATTTCTTTTTAGGTTTGGGAATATGATAACACACTACTCTACAACTTCATGGATCAATCATTTAACTCCTATTAATAATGTGTTTTACCTTTAGACCTTATTCAGATTAGATAATGTCTGATTTACTTCATCGACCAAAATCCCGTCTTCCACCATTCAATCAAAACAATATTACTTGCTAGTAAAAAACACCAAAAACAGAGAAACGGACAATAGAAGTCTCATATGAAGAACATTACTTGTTTGTAGCTGGAGCATTCCAAGATATGAAGAACCCTGTAATAAACAGGACCAGACCATGCGCGAATACTGAGGAAGGATCATCAGGCAAAGCCAGCAGAAGGATCGCCGATAGGGGAATCGCTGAAGCTGAACTTATTTGTGCCAGGATTATCCTGCCACAATTTGGTAGACGCCGGGATAACATGTCTCCCATCCTTCCTCCAAAGAGTCCTCCTATGGAACTTCCAATCACAAACAAGCCAATAAGTACAGCAGTCTTCTCATGGGAAAGTCCAGTAAGCTCTAACCACATTGGAGCAAAGGACAAAGCTGACCAGGGAAAAGAACCAGTAACACCTTGAGCAACAATAATCTGGAAAGATTGAATCTTTATGACCGATTTTGCTTCTTGAACGAGACCTTGCACTTCCGATATGAAGGATTTACCATGACCTTCATTAGTAGCCTTTAGACGGCCATCTGGAAAGTGAGGATCATTAGCAAATAAGCGAACCAAAATACCAATGATAACGCTGACGATCCCAACAAGATGAAATGCGAGCCTCCAACCAGGAATTCCCAAAAAAGTAACACGCGCTATCATTAAGGAGAACAATCCACCAATTATCGAACCAATATTGCTAGTAAGCTGTAGCCATCCAAATGCCATCCCACGTTTGTCATCATCAGTCGAGTCAGCTACAAGAGATTGAATAGCAGGTGCAACTATGGCTAGGCCTATCCCATTTAAAGCTCTCGATACTGCCACCTTATCAAGCAAAGGTGCATAACTTTAGGAATCCGTTGACATATCCATAATTCTAACATTTATCAGTTCGTTTTCCTATAATGCTATTCACATGTGTACATCAATGGACTACAAGTTGGGGATGGTGGGGAGATGCTACACGCAAATGTAAACACAATCCAAAGACCTAGTGGTACTCGAATTGAAACACACTCTTATTTCGATAGAATCAAAGGAAGGGGGGGGTCAAAAGTACGCTTATGCTTTGCAACATATCTTAATTTTAACATCAGATCCTAACGGAGCTCTTTACCTAAAGTAAGACGGAGGATAATTTTAACTCATACTTAAAAGTAGAGGGTAAAAATTTGAACCTAAAATATTTTGACACGTGGAATCCATCGTGCTGGAGCTCCATTAAAGGCAAATACTAGACAATTTGCTAATGACAAGTGCTAATAGCCAAATACTAGACAAGGGTATGAATGACCCCAAAGTAAAACAAAGGGTAAAAATAAGATATTTAGTCTAATAGGGGAGTAAATTTGGATCAAATGAATTCAAAAAATCAAAAATGAGAATTGTATCTATGTAACAGACGGACCTGAGAGAAGGTAGAGGAGAAAGCGACGAGGAAAGTGGCGGCAGCCCAAAGAAAAGCACCATAGGCGATGACATGGGCCCGGTTATGGCGAGCAGCTAAGTAAGCAGCAAGAGGATAACACAGGGACTGAACCATGGATCGGAAAAGCGTGAGCGAGCCCAACCTCGTTGGATCAGCATGGAGTGCTTCACCAACTTCCTTATAAACACCAGGTAACAATGATTCATCCGCCCTTTCCATTATTCCCGCTAAGTTCACCAGCACCAGTGTTAGTGTTTCTGCCTTCATTTTTCTCTCTGTGCAAAGAAAATTGTGTCAAGATTTTGATAAAACCTTTTAACTGTACAATTGAGGGGAAAATGGGGATTTGGATTAAACAGTATGTAGCTGACAAGTGGTGATGAACAAACTGATGACTCACCGTTGCCCCTGACGAAGATGCCCCGTAACAAATTTCACTCACCATTTTCCGGTCAATTTCCTTAGTCTTAAATATGTTTGTTGATTTCCAAGCTTCCAGAACATGTCTTATGAAATCTGGGATAGATTGCTGAATTTTATACTCCTTGATATAGTTTTCAACAAAAATGGTAAACTTGACATGTCTATTATGTCCATTGGCTAACTTTATTTCCACAAAATTTTCTTTTAAAAGTGACCAACTTTTTTTATAATTAAAAAATAAAAAGGGTATCGAACTTTGAAGGTGCCTCCATCTCTAAGGGTTATTTGGATTGAAATATAAGAGAATTTTAATTTTTGTATGACCTATATGTCGTTTAATTATCGGTATAAAACCATGCATGATTAATAAGTATATAATTTAGTTACTAATATTTCGCTATAAAAAGAAACTTATGTATGATTATATACGCGATAAAATTTAAAATAAGGATACATGTATTAATAATATATCGATAAGAGTTGTAGACATATAAATTTTATTGGAATTAAATTCAATAAAATAATTTGGACTATATATTAAATATATTTGTCCAAATAAATATTACGGGCCAATATAATTAGATTAATTATATTAGTTCAATATATATATGGAGTAAATAAATAAATCCAAATATGATGGGCTAACCCATTTAATTGAGCTACAAGTGATGAGCCTACTTCATTAGGCCCAAGATGTCATCTTCTTAGAGGCCCAGTTTGATGCCACGTGTCAAATGACATGGCACGCCAAGTCAAACTGAATGACCAATAGGATCATTGTAGAAAATGGACGAATGAATTGGAAAATTTTCTGTGTACTTTCTCATTTCTCTTTGTTTGTATTTATACAACTATTTCTCTAAAAGAAAATAAATGAATAATGTAAATAACTATACATGTGTCTACAATTTACTGGACCATAAAATAACAAAAAATAACTCTTATACAGTGACTCAGCTTGGTCATGTGCCCAAAGAATCCAATGTATAATCTTTATCCTTTACAAATGGACGGTCCAGATTATTTACATGTGAATGTGATCTAAAGGCATAAAAACCTCCATCTGTATTCTCTAGAAGACTTAAAGAGGAACATATACTCCCTCCTGTCTGAGACCCAAACAAAACCTTAGAATCATTAGGTTGTAACACCATCTTCTTCCTCTGTCTTTCACCATTTATGATTTCTCTAGAACATAAATCATCACTAATATTAACACCTCCCCTCAAGTTGGAGGGGAGCGAAGAAAGCCCCAACTTGCCAAGGATGAAATTATGTGAAGGCCCAGATAAGGGCTTTGTAAAGATATATGCGATTTGAGGAGATGGTGGAACAAAATTCAAAGAAATCAAGCCAGAGAGGAATTGTTGCCAGACGAAATGGCAATCGAGCTCCACATGTTTTGTTCGTTCGTGAAACACCGGATTCTGAGCGATATGGAGTGCTGCCTGACTATCGGAATGAACCAGGATAGGGAGAGTCGGAGGAGCTGAAAGATCATTGAGGAGACGATCCAACCATGTTAACTCAGCAACAAGACGCCTCATTGAACGATATTCAACCTCTGCTGAAGATAGAGAAACATAAACTTGCTTTTTGGATTTTCAAGAAACGGGTGAGCCTCCAAGGCTGATAAAATAACCACTTATAGACCTCCAAGAATCAACACAAGACGCCCAATCAACATCGCAAAAGGAAAGGAGAGAAAAAGATGGATCAACAGTCATAAAAAGCCCTTGACCAGGATCTTTGCAAAGATATCGAATCACTCGAAGGGCTGCTGTGAAGTGTGGAAGTCGAGGAGCTTGCAGGAATTGAGACAAGTGTTGCACTGCAAAAGAGAGATCTGGGCGAATGAGATCAAGGGTGAATTTGCGTTGAGAAACAATCAGGCCATGTGATTCTCGAAGAACCTCCAAACTAAGAAAATAATGTATCATATAGAATACCGATTGACAGGCATTCAAGTCTATCTTATAGTTTATGTTGATGATCCTTAATCTGAAATTCATCATTTAAGAAGTGCTTAAGTTGAGAAAGCTCTGTATGATTGTTGCCAGTAAGTAGTATGTCATCAACATACACTGCCACAATAGATATAGAATCACCTGATTGTTTGAAAAATAGGGAATAATCATTCAAAGAAGAAGAAAACCCTTCAAAATTAAAAGCAACTGTAAGTCGAGCATACCACTGTCGCGACGCTTGTCGCAAACCATAAAGTGATTTCTTAAGACGCTAGACATGGTTAGGACTAGGAGCAGGTATACCGGCAGGAAATTTCATATATACTTCTTCTTGTAAAATCCCATGTAAAAAGGCATTGTTCACATCTAATTGTGACAATGACCCGCCTTTCTTGATTGCAACAGCAAGAATGCATCAAATAGTAGTCATTTTAACCACGAGAGAGTATGTTTCATTAAAATCAATCCCTTCACGTTGTCACCTCTAATCACCAATATAGCTTTTAGTCTTTCGATGCTTCCATAAGATTTGTGTTTAACTTTGTAAACCCATTTGCAAGGCAAAGCCTTCTTGCCAACAGGTAATTCAACCACTTTCCACGTTTGAATATTCTCAAGAGCTTTGATCTCAGAAGTCATAGCTTGCTGCCAACCAGAATGTTGGACAGCCTGAGAGAAGCTAGTAAGTTTAATAGTGTTGAAAATAGAATTAAGCATATGCTGATTAGTCAAAGAAAGAGAAGTGAAAGAATAAACAGGGCGAGGGATGGGATGGGAAAAATAGGAAGAAGTTAAATCAGTTAGAACTACTGAACCACAAATGTAATTAGAGAGATAAGTAGGGGTAATATGATCCCTCTGTGATCTTCTTAAAATAGGAACATGAGATGGACTTGGAGATGAAATAGGGTAAGAAGAGGAAGAAGGAGATAAGGAAGATGAAGAAGGAGGAGAACTGGAAGAAGGATTGGGACTAGGAAGAGTAGACTCAATAGGTGAGGATGAAGGAGAAGGGGAAGTAAATAGAGGTAAATCAGAGGTGATAGATGAAAAAGGAAATTCAGACTCATGAAACTGAACGTCCCTGGAAACAAAAACTCTTTTGGTGTTAAGATCCAGGAGCTTATATCCCTTTTTTCCATGGGTATATCCCAAAAAAACACAAGGTATAGCTCTAGGGAAAAATTTTGACATGTTATGTGTAAGAGTAGAAGCATAACACAAACACCCAAAGCACCTAAGATAATCATAGGATGGAGGCTTTCCAAAAAGAATTTGATATGGAGTTTGACCTTTAAGAACAGAGGAAGGGAACCTATTGATCAAAAAAGTAGCAGTGAGTAGACATTCACCCCAATAAGAGATAGGCAACTTAGATTGATGCAATAAAGCTCTAGAAGTCTCTAAAAGATGTCTGTGCTTCCTCTCAACAACTCCATTTTATTGAGGGGTAGCAGTGCAAGAGGTTTGATGTAAAATACCCTGAAAAGCAAAGAATTCTGAAATGCTAGAACCCCCTCCCAATTCAAGAGCATTGTCAGATCTAATCTTGTTAACCTTAGTATTAAATTGACTCTTAACCATAGCTAAAAAAATGTTTGATCAAAGAGCAGGCATTGCTTTTAGTGCTCATGAGATAAGTCCAAGTACCTCTGCTAAAGTCATCAACAATGGTAAAAAAATACTTGAAACTAACATAAGTAGGTGACTTGTAGGGTCCCCATGTATCCAAATGAATAACTCAAAGATAGTAGTACTTTTGATATAACTCGAATGGAAAAGAAATCTAGACTGTCTTGCTAAAGGGCAAACATCACAGGGACAATCAAGAGTAGAAGATAAAATAAAATTGATTCTCTTCATTGCAGAAATAGGCATATGTCCAAGTCGAATGTGCCATAATTTTACATCAAAAGTGTTGTTTACAGGAACAGTAACGGATTCAAAAACAAAAGAGGAAACTGAAATACAAGGAGAAGCTAAAAAACTAGACTTAGAAACTAGATTGTGCTTGAAAAAACTCTGAAACTTAGAAAGGGCTGAATGAAGAAGATAGATGCCATTCCTTGATTCACCAAGAACCAGAAGGGTCTTCACTAAAGGGTCCTTGATCGCGTCCTACTCCGCACTACTATTGAGTAGCGAGAAAGGGTCGGAGTAGTTTTTACCCGATTTAGGGTCGGGATCGATTTTCACAGAGAGCTAGAATTTAGAATCGAGTATCTATCTAGTGTAGAGTTGCGTAAGTGTTCCAAATTACACTTCTAATCATTTTTGGGGTTTTCATTTTACTTCTACTCTTATCAACTACAAATGGTAAATGCAACTAGATTAAGCTAAGAGTTAATCTAAAAAGGGTTGTTCAAATGGTTTAAAAGACACTAGGATAATGACTTTCATCTAGGTGGTTAATTGACGGGTAATTGAATTTAAGACACGATTGACATAATTGGGGAGTATGATATAACTGTTGCACGATATTACCCTCTCTACACCTCTCGGTGGTTCAAGTAATTTTGCCCGAATTGACTTTCTCAAGACCAATTGAGTATACAAATTTGCACAAGCAACTAGGGTTCAAGTTGGGTATTACTCTCTCGAGGTTTAAACCTTTAATTGGGGCTATCAATCTCTTGAGTACACTCCAATTCCTTGTTGGACCAATTTCGGAGACTTAGGCTCTCTTTCTCAAGAAGAGCCCTAGTCAACTAAACACAAACTAGTGTTTGCAACCACTAATTCAGCAATTAACCATGAAATTGGCCCAAATATCAAACATTCATAGTCAATCTAGCCCTAAAATACAAGACTCATCAATTACCCACACTAGGGTTGAGCCACAACCCTAGCTTATGGGTCTAGCTACTCATAATTAAAGAAGAAAAGCAAGAAATAGATGAAGAAAAACTCATATTAATTAATCACTAAGGTAAATAACAAGATTCAATGATGAAAAATAGATAAAATTGCCCAAAATGGCTAAGAAAGTCGAACCCATGACCGCAGCTACGTTACAAAACTATTTGCTACCCTAAAAATAGAAAAAGAAGCTATTTATACTAAGCTGAAATATCTGAACAAAAATACCCCTACGGGCTTAGTGTGGACCGCATAAAATGGAGTGTGGCCGTACTAGGGCTTTGATCTTGAAAATACAGCTCTCTGAACTCGGGCAATGCGTACCGCATAGAATGGACTGTGGCCGCGGAGGCTTCTAGTGTGGTCCGTACAGAATGGACTGTGGACCGCATTGGCTTGGAACTTCACATCTGGCATCTCTCTGATCCTTGGGTCTGTGGACCGCACTAAATTGAATGCGGCCGCATTAACTCCAGTGCGGACCGCATAAAACCTAGTGCGGTCGTATTACCTCTTTGCCTGAAAATCAGCCTCTCTGAATCTCCTAGTGTGGACCGTACAGAATGGTGTGCGGCCGCACTGGGCCTGTTTTGCTTGAGCTTGTCTTGTCTTTGGCACTTGTGCAAGTTTCACTCCTTTTGAGCTGATCTTTGACATCTTGTCACTTTGTTGATCAAACTTGCAATCAAGCACAACTTGTGAGCCTTTTGGGACTATTTTGTACAAATTCCTAATCAAAACATAAGCAAGAAGGAGTATAAAAGGTATCAAAATCCCTAGTTATCAACTCCCCCAAACTTAAGCCTTTGATTGTCCTCAAGCAAACAAAATAAGACTCACTCCTTAAGAGAACATCCAAGAAAAATTTTAGATGTACTAAAGTGACCTCATCTAGCATCAATTGGGACTAACAATTGCCCTCAATACAAATAAATCATTAACAACTTTTACTCTTTTAAACACCATGGATTGAGTGCGACATAAGAGCATCAAGAGTTGACTCAACACATCAAAGAACTCTTTCTATTACTTTGGTCTTTGTGGAACCCAAACTCACACATCCTTAACTTTCCCTAAGCAAACCTCACCTTTAGAATAGTGGCACTTAAAACGAGGTCAATGAATTCACTCATCTCTCTCAAGAAAAAGAGTCACAAGTTCGGTTCTAAGTACCATATGCTTGCCCCTTATGTAAGTCACCACGAATGTAAGTTTCATTCAACTCAAGATCATATAGGGCTTTTGTGGAGTCATGGTGAAGGCTTTTGGTTCAGGGTAAGAAATGTTTGGTCTAAGTAGGTTCCATCTTCCCTTAAACACTTCTTTTGCTTCATTTGACACATATTCACTTGACTCTTTGAGTCATTTTACTTCTTTCTAAGGGATTAGAGAGACATACTGTCACTCTTTCTTATACATTTCAAACTTTTTCTCCTTTTTTCAACTTCTCACACCTTTCATTCTTTGCTTTTCTTGAATCCCTTTTTATTCTCTTTCATATTGAACATTCTTTTTGTCTTTTTGCTTTTCTTTTTTTTCATTACCTTTTCTTTTCTTTATTTTTGTGCCTTTTTACCACTTTGTTTCAATCCTCGTCTCTCCCCCCAAACTTATACTTTTGCCATGTGCTAAGGAAAGATTGAGTGTCAAGAGAGAGTATCTTTTAAAACGGGTATAGGCTTGTATTATGGGTTTTGAAGGAAAAAGGTCTAAGGCTCAAAAGGGTTGACTAGGGATCTTATCATTGGTAGGTTATGGAAGTGTTCAAGCTATCATTTGGACCAAGGAGAGTCTATAATCATGTCTCAAGTCAAAATTCACTTAGGATTTCGCCTCAACAAATATTCAGGGCAAGTTCTAGACCAATGGCTCGGAACTTGGACTTTCAATGCAATTACTCACCACACGAGCTATAGGATCGCTAAAGACATAGAGTCGAGGGCCCACAACAACCTTAGATAAGATTTGAGCACACAATGGTCCCGAAAATCACTTGATAATTATCGGTCAATACAAGAGTCTCAAGGCCACGACTTTCACCATCCTAAACACAACAATTTATTTTTGACCATAAGAACAAAGGCAAATGTGCTAGGCCCAAGTGAAGCTTTGCTTGAGGCACCCTTAACTACCAAAACTACTAAAAACAAAAAAAAAACGGACTCAGACCCTTAAGAAAGTTGTCACGCCATCCATCATTGGGAAGAGCCACCCAGTTTATACAAACTCCACCTTTGGAAAGAACTGTAGCATTAAGAAAACCAAAGGCTTATTGTAAACTTTAAGGACAAGAAGCTACGAATCACAAGAAGCTAAGAATGAAAAATTTGCGAAAAGTAGAATGAATATATACAAGAGGGGATTTGAATATACAATAGATGGGATGAATGTACAATGTAGCATAACTTTATATACAGACCCAAAGTAAAATAAAAATGCGAGAAATATAACGACATGTTAAAATTATATACAACCCAAAGATGAAAAATAAAGAAAGCATAAAAAGTATCAAATATATACAATCATCCGAATGAATCCATCAAAAATAGGGCCTACCCCTTCAAATAAAAGTTGCATTGTCCCCAATGCCAACTAAACTAAATAAAGCACCAAAAAGAGAAAGGGAAAAAGGATATAGAAACTCTCTATGGCCCGTCTGCCTGCATGGGCTCCTGAGTGGCCCCTGGGTCCTCACTATGCTCGGGAACCTCAAACTGGTTCCCTGTGGCCTGCTGCTGTGCTGCTGGGACCTGGGTCTGGACAGGTTCCTGAGGTGCATCCTATAGCTGACTAGAGGAGGCCTCCGGTGGGTCTGCCAACTGGATGACTGCATCGTCCGCTCTGGAAATCATCCTCTTTCTCTTTGGAGGCCTCTATGAGTGCTCTGGCTGGGAGAGCTGCTGGTATAGGATCATCGAGCAATAAGTCCAAAGGCAGCTGGTATGCCTTCAACCGGTCAACATCAACCCTCAGCACCTTCACGGACCTTTTAGAAGCTCGCGTCTTCCTCAACTTCTTGTGCTCCCTAGCAAGCTCCTTGAGAGACTGGCTGTGTGAAGCAACTGCCTTTATGAGCACCGTCTGAGTGTCGAGGATTTTCTTCTAGTTATCTAAAATCTCCTTGAGAGCATCCTCTATAGATTGGGGAACTTGTGGGGGTGGAGGTGTCGACTGAGCCTCTACCGTGGTAGTGAGGGTGGACAACTTGGATGACGCAATCTACATCTAATTGTTGATACTAAGAAGAGTCTGGCTCAGTCGATGGGCAGTAATAGGATATGCACGGGAGGATGGAATCTCCAGGTCCGCTGAGGTGGATGGACCAGGAGGGATAGCAGTGGAAGTAGAGGCAGGCTCAGCAGGAGTCATTACCACAACTGGCTCTTCATACTGGCCAAATGGAGCAGTAATTGTACCCTTGAAATTTTTGCTCTTGGGTTTATCATCCCCCTGCATGATGTACCAGGAAAAAGGGGCCTTCGCTTTGACTTTGATGTCGAAGGGCCTCTTTTCCACTTTCAGATCTCGGAAGTACATAGTGAGAAAACTGGGGAACGGGTAGTTTCTGTCATGCTCAGCACCCACAATTATAATAATTCTTGACATCATATTTCCCACATTTATTGGGTACCCCGCCATGATTGACGCCACCAAAATTGCCCGGTGAAGAGGTAGGGAGTTGTCATGTGTCGTAGGGTCCAACCTGCTACATACAAATGTCTCCCACCTCCGTGCCTTGAAATTCAGACTGTGTCTCAGAATCTTGACGCCCGCAGTCAACCAGTCAGGGGTGGTACCGAAATTTCCAGGTATTGTGCTAGCCAGGGACGGACCTCCTTGCCCATTTCCATCTTTGCCATGTATAGGGTCTCATCCTCCTCATTGAAGCCAAGGTAATCGTTTATTGTCTTCCTATCAAACAACACTTTCAGGTTTCGAACCTTGGTCACCTTGGAGCCCTTTTTGATGTGGGCAACGTTGGTGTAGAATTCCTTGACTAAGTGTTCGTTGGCATCCACACATTCATCCAAAAAATGTTCCCAGCCTACTCTCACCCTAAACTGCCTCCTCACATTTGGGCTGTGAGGTAGCAAGTCTCTATCTACAAAACTCCTCTCCGGGATTAACTTCCTCACCGACCACCATTCCCGGAATATATGATATGCTACCTCACTAACAAATCGGTCCCGCCACACTTCCAGCTTCCTAGTTCTAGCAATACACCCCACTTATGGTTCACCTCCTTCTCCTACTTCTTCTTCTCCCCCTACTTCCCTTTCATCACCTACTGCACCCCTCCAGATAATGAAGTTGTGGGAGAGGTGGAGTATTCATCCCCACTACCTGCTACTGAGCCCTCAGACGACCCAGAAGATACATTCACTGATGCTTGGGCAGTGGGGGATGCTGGAGGTGTGTCTCTTAGTCTGTTCCTCTCCGGCCAGTCAGGGATGTATTCTGGCACGGAGTCTGAAGAAATCTAACGGGAGGGATCGTACTCACTTCCCGACATGTCAATGGCTCTATCAGTTGCTTTAATCATCTTCCTCATATTTTTGATGTTTTGCCTAGCTTGGGGAGTGAGTTTAATCATTTTCTGTTTCCCTCCCCGGGAGGATCCTCCTCTGCCCGGTTGTTTAGATCCTTTACCTTGTTGTTTCACCATTGTCTGCAAACACAATCCAAATGAACTTGTTAGTATCAATTGCAGCAGTTAAGAACAGAGTTGCAGAATCAGAAAAGAAAAATTGCAGACAGGTTGTAGGAGTCACCCAGTGCAGACCGCACAAAATAGTGTGCGGTCGTACTGGGCATGTTTTGCTTGAGCTTGTCTTGTCTTTGGTACTTGTGCAAGTTTCACTCCTTTTGAGCTGATCTTTGACATCTTGTCACTTTGTTGATCAAACCTGCAATCAAGCACAACTTCTGAGCCTTTTGAAACTATTTTGTACAAATTCCTAATCAAAACATAAGCAAGGAGTATAAAAGGTATCAAAATCCCTAGTTATCAGTCATGCAATAGACAATTAGTGGAAGAAAACATTAGAAGACAATGGAACTGAGTGCAAAACTTGTTGACAGAAATGAGATTGATCCTGAAAGAAGGGACAAATAAGACATTATGTAAAACAAGATTAGGGAAAAGAGTAATTGTCCCACTGAGTTACCCTAACTCTAAAGGAATTAGGTAAGTTAATGAACAATGGAGTAGGTAGAGGAGAAAGAGTGGCAAAGAACTTAGTATCATAAGACATATGTTCAGAAGCCCCTGAATCAATAATCCAAGAATGAGTATTGGCATATGTGAGATAAATAGAAGGATTGTTGAAGATGTTACCAACACATTGAACTACATTAGCATTAACTTTTGTGGTTGGGCTTCCTGTATGACCAAGCTGTGCATTGTTAAGCAGGTGAATTAACTGAGAAAATTGGTCTTGTGTAATAGGATTTCCTCCAGTGTTTCCTGTAGGCTGTGCATGAAAACTCAAAACAGCATTGCTCTTGACAGATCCATGAAGCTTAGGAGTTTTGGTGAACTTAAAATCAGAAGGGAAACCAATTATTCGATAGCATTTGTCAACTGAATGGCCTGGTTTCTTGCAATGAGAACAAATTAAGTTATTCTTCCTCCCTTTAAAATCTGATGATTGAGATTTCTGACCTGAAATATTTTGATGTGTGGCTAGGAAAGAAGAAAAGTCACCAGGAAACTGGGGATTCACATATACTTCCCTCTGCTTCTCATCTTGAACCAACAAAGAATAGGCTATGTTGATGCTGGGGAGAGGGGACATCATCAGGATGTTGCTCCTAACAGGAGAATATGTATCATTCAAGCCCATGAGAAATTAAATCAACCTTTCATTTTGAAGAGACTTAACCAATTTCACCTTGCCACTACAGGTGCAGGCACAAGAACAGGTAACAGTAGTGTAAATAGCATCAAGTTCATCCCATAATAGCTTCAATTTGGTAAAATAGCCAGCAATATCACTTGATCCTTGCATTAAGTCACTTATTTCCTTTTGTAGGTGATAGAGTTTAGCCCCATTGGATTGGCCAAACCTATCCTCAAGATCTGTCCAAAGAGCTTGAGCAGATTTGGAGTAAAGAGCACTAGCAACAATTTCCTTTGAAAGAGAGTTGAGTAACCAAGAGGTTATCATATCATTACACCGAGTCCACAAGCTGAAAGAGGTAGAATCAAAGGCAGGAGCAGAACAACTCCCATCAATGAAGCCCAACTTATATTTAGTTGAAAGGGCAATGAGAAGAGACCTTCTCCAACCTCCATAGCCCCAACCATCGAAGACAGAAGTGACGAGAGTCATACCGGGTGAATCTGATGGGTAAAGAAAATAAGGATGGCTAGCATCAATAGTAGGAGAGGATCTGGAACCATCATCCTTAGAAGGAGCATCAGATGAAGAAACCATTTGGATTGAAGGGAGAAAAGAAATAGAGGTGAAAAAGAAAGAAAGCAGAAGTCTAGAATCTAAGTGGCGACTGATACCATGTAGAAAATGGATGAATGAATAGGAAAATTTTCTGTGTACTTTCTCATTTCTATTTGTTTGTATTTATACAACTATTTCTCTGAAAGAAAATAAATGAATAATGTAAATATCTATACATGTGTCTACAATTTACTGGACTATAAAATAACAGAAAATAACTCTTATACAGTGACTCAGCTTGGTCATGTGCCCAAAGAATCCAATGTGTAATCTTTATCCTTTACAAATGGACAGTCCAGATTATTTACATGTGAATGTGATCCAAAGGCATAAAAACCTCCATCTGTATTCTCTAGAAGACTTAAAGAGGAACATATACTCCCTCCTGTCTAACACCCAAACAAAACCTTAGAATCATTAGGTTGTAACGCCATCTTCTCCATCTTCTTCCTCTGTCTTTCACCATTTATGATTTCTTTAGAACATAAATCATCACTAATATTAACAATCATACCACGTGTCAAAATGACAAGGCATGCCAAGTCACATTAAAAGGTCAATAAATAAACCGCCACATGTGCAAATGACGTGTTCTGGCCAATCAAATATGGCCTTGTCACACTTTAATTTGATTGGTCGGAAAGAGTTTGTTCTTATCATAACTCTTCCCTCCCACAATTTTAAATAGGGGTCTTCATAACCTAGAAAGGAAACCATAAGTTATAACAAGAAGCAAGAGAGAGCTCGTGGATCAAACGTCGCAAATTTCTCTACAAATTTCAAGCTTCAAGCAATCAAATTCAAGTTCAAGAAATCAAGTTCAAGCTTAAGAACGAAGAACAAATCAAGGTTCAAGGAGTACAAGTTCAAATCAATGTTCGTGTTAGTTGAATTCAAGATCACCGTTTGTTGCAACAATATAGATTCAAGATCAAGCTCAAAGACTCTTGAATTTATTTTCTATTGGAAAGAAGAATCAGAGGATTCATCGAGATAGTATATTCAATTATTTGAAATCGAATAGTACGATTGTTGCGATATTTTTCGGTCTCGATTATTTTCTTGACGCAATTTATTGTCTACAAGAATATCATATATAAAATGTTTCTTTAATTAGATAATTTCTACATGAAAATCCCTTGTGAATATTCACAAATTTACTAGAATTATTAACCTGTTTACCTACTTAATTCTCCATATATTATGTTAAATTTGTATATTTTCTTCATATGTTGACGGTAATATAACATCTGAATATGATATATTTCTACATAAAAAGATGAAAAATACACATTTAATTATTAAAGTTACATATACAAAGTCATATATCACAAGGAACAAAATTATATTTACTAATAATTGATAGACCAATGATGCCATAATCCACTTTTGCTTTAAATGAATCTGTAAAGTGGTAAATATTCATTCATCATTAACCAGAAGTTTCGGGTTCGAGCTTTGAGTATGAAATCGTCTTTGTTAGGGAACACTAACCGACACGAATTCAAATTTAGTCAGGTCCCAATATAAATACCGAATAGAAAACAAAAAAATCAATTCAGGTTTGGTGAAAGAGCAGTGGAATTCGTCAAATGATGAGAGAGTTTCTTCAACTTGTTCGCCACACTTAATTGTTCTTGTGGAGGGTGGAGCCTATAGGGTAACCGCGTTCCCTTTCTTGTTTTGGATCCCTTAGAATATCCCTTTGAAGATGCTGTTCCCATGTGGGCCTCAAAGTTTCGGCCCAAACATCTAAGTGGACAAACCACGTAGTCCACTATTCTTGGGCTAGTGTGGATTTGGACCCCTTCAAACTGACACTTGTTTTTGGGCTTTAATGTGAATTGCATAGATATGACTTTTATCAAATTCTTCTTTCTAGAACGTTGGATAAGATCATAAGAATGAATGTATGTCCAATCAGTAACATTGAGAGGTGTGTTAGTTTCCAAAATCTCTAGAAATTTAACTTGACTTAGGAGCTAGTAGTAATAATACGGGTAAAAGCTTAACCAAAAAACAGAAATTTGAATATTAAAATATGAGACGGACAAGATTTTCTTAAAACTTGGCAATTCTGTCAAAATGGTTATGATGGGTAAGATAATGAAAATGATACATCTCCAACTCTAATTTTGGGCCTGATCAAAGCCCAGTCCAGTTCAGAGTCGAAGGTCGTTATCGTAATCAATTGCGGGAATCGTGCGGTGGTACGGCCCCTGTGGAGTAGTGGGCCGCCAATCCCTATCCTACTCTACTTGCTACACACCGGGCCCACTCTCTGGAAAAGACATAAAGAATAGTCAGATGACTAAAAATGCAAGTGTAATGAGCTTTTTCGTATGAAGTAGTATTAAATAATCTTGAAAAATGGCAAATATTATGTTATAAGTAACTAAGTAGAAGGAAGGGGTTTAACCAAATTAACCTATGCCAGTAGGGTAAAAATATTTTTTTTACTCATATGAAAACTGTTGAATCCCCTCGAGATGAAGAAAAATTCAAGTAATATTGTGAGGGAGGTTCAAAAGTTACTTTAGATCATATATTTAAATCCAAATCGTGACACCCTGAAATCTTTTTTGAATCTCCTTTTATAAATAGCTAGTTCTACCGCTGATTATATAATGCAAGTTCCAAACACATGTTTTCTTAACTTTTGCTCGCAACACTTCGAACTCCAAGAAAATTTCATGAAGTTCATGTAGCTATTTTTCAACTATTTTATTGCATCTTAAAATATGATTATTTTTAAATTACGACCGCCATCAATATTTCAATTAGCCGCTCTAAAAGTAACTACCTATTATCGTTTTTACTTAAATATGTTATGTATTGTCATCACATAAAGTTAAAAACTTACAGGAAAAACAAAAGAAGAAAAAAACATCGTATTAATCCCTTCCTCGAATGGCGCCTCGTGCTTGTCTGCTGGCCCGTTGCTTTCACCGTAATGTAAGCATCTCACGTTATTTCTAACATCATTCTGTGGTATTAAAATACTTATTAATTCTCCTTTAGTTTAACACATCATTTAAATAGAATTTTAAAAATTGATTGTATTACTTTAAAAAAAATGTACATAAGATTGGATGCGGAGAATATATAATGAGAAATGAAACCCCCACGTAGATGGCGGAAGTTTAAGCAGCCCACCAAAAGGAGCTACGCCGAATTCCCAATTTGTCGTAATACTAACGGGTGGTTTACCTAAAATTCATATAATGAATCAGTTCTCATTATATACAAAAATATCAAATTTGATTGCAGTTGTGACGGATAAACAAATATGTTCAACAAGTGGAAGAATATAATTCTTTTCTGCTTTCTTATTCGCACTGAACGTTGACATGGCACGTTTAATTGCTGATAAATGTAACTTAAGTTATTATAACTTATATTTTTTTAAAATTATTTTGGGGGTCGAGGGGACTGGTGGTGGGCGATGACCATATTTAAGGGGTATTATCACTTTTGGCTCACGCCATAAACTATTTATATCTGGTGGCCGAAAAAGTAAATAAAACTTGTATGATTTTTGTTTATAACATACAGAATGTATATATATACAAAAAATATACAAATTTTATACATTTTTCGGCTATTATTTTTACATAGTGTCATTTTCCCCATATTTAAATTATTCGAATGTGCTCAATAAACACATTTTAAATAATTCATCTTGCTGAAATAACGAAAACGTTAAAATTTAAAGGTCCTGGAGGCTAAAATATGGAATTTAAAGTAATATTTTCAGTTTCATGAATCATTGCTTATGCAGACAATAATGATACAGTCGGAAAACCAAAATATTTTATCCATACTTCCTGCTCTTTATGATCCACTTTATTTGTAACCAGTACAGTTTGGAGATTCTAAGAAGCCTTTTGTTCTCGCGATTTTTGCAAATATTTCCTTTTTTGTTGTTGAAATTTTAGATTATTAACTCTTGATTCTTTAGCACTTTTTATGTAATTCTTAAACAGATATATATTTTATTTTAAAAAACTCAAAGGTTCATATTCAAATTTGAATCGAAATTAAATAACTTAGCCTTCCTATTCTGAATTACGTTACATGAAATGCAACAATGAGAACATATTTTGCAACGTTAAATAACCCTCATAACAGTGTGTGTTGAAGTAAAAATAGATCAAATTGCAGGCCTTATGCGGTTCGAGAGAATTAATAGTAACCTTTAACGTGAGTATGGGTTACGGGTGAGAAACAAAAAAACACAATAATATATACCTAAGTAATTCCCAGTGGCCGTTAAAATAAAAGAGCAATTTCCCAATGCAGTAGTACTCGATAGAAGGTGGTATAGTGGGAAACAAGTGGGGTTCTTGAAAATCATATAACTGCACCCAAGGCAGGCAAATATGCTGTCAAAATGTCCCTTAAGAATCTATATAACTCGTCGTTTATAAAAAAGAGAAAGAGCAAAATTCTTACTATCTATCGACCAGGAGAATATTACTATACCATTCCAGACCACACAATCACACCATATATACACTCACTTTCCACTTAATAAAGGAAGTCTACTTGTTTGTTTCTTTGTTGAATACTGCATTGTAATTACTTTTAGCAAATATTTCTAGTTCGGCTTCTCAACTAATAAAGCTTAGGTTTTTAAATTCATTCGAAGTATTCTGCAAAAAATAGTTTAGCTTATTGAATCATTTCATGTCCTTAGAAATTGAATCCCATTGAAAAAAAAAAAAAAGAATCATAAAGTCAACTAAACGTGTCCATTCACAATGATAAAAAATAAAGAGGGAAAAGATATTGTAAATCGCAAAAGCAGAAGCAATAATTCTTTACGAAAGTTAAGCAAAACTGCAGTATACTTACTTGAAAGATGACTTTAGACAGATTTCTCCCTTAAACACTAGAACAAAGTTCTTTATCTTTAAATTAATCCTTTTATATAATGCTACAAACAGGAACTATCCATTTATCTGTATCATTTCCCA